ATGTTAATAGCATATCTACGTACTCAGAAAATGTATAGTTTGGCATGTTTGACGATTTGAAAACAATGCTAACGAAATTCCAACTGATTTTGACAATTCTCAAAACTGACAATAAAATGTCAACTGATAATCTAGTGGTCCTATTTGTATTCTCTGTTCCCATATGTTTACTTCTCATCGGAGAATTGAAATGTGAAAATCAATTTTATTCGGAAATGGTTCATTTTATCGACATTCAACGAGAGCATACCATTTTTATGTAAATAGCCCTGAAATTTCATAATTTCATGTCAAACGACTGAAATTATGGAATTATGTCGTGAACAAAGACTGTATCAAAGCATAAAAATGAATGGAGGACACTTTGAGGAGTGAAATGATGATTGAGCATCACGTCATTAGAGAATTCTTACAACGCTGAAGTAATGTTGCGGATCACTCACTATTTCACTCGCTATTTCATTGTCATAGAGCTTGAATCTTATAGAAAACTTAATCATCTCTGTCATATTCCTGCTGTGCTCTCTAACGCTCTCTAACTCAGGGTTAAATTCTACGTTTCATTTCGTTGGGGTTATGTTGAACTGAAATGTAATAAAATAAGGTAAAAAAATCAGTGACAATAATGTTTCTATCCAGATGCTTCAGGAAGTGGAAGAAGATTTCTTCAGATATGTAAGCTATCGAATACCTTACTCACAGAATAACTTACGTGAGATATCAAAAGCATTTTTCTCGTCATTTTCAGAGCATTTGAAGAAAGGCTTGTCTTTTTTCACCTTATTTCATCTTTAATTTTTTATTTCAATAGTTAAAGTAATGAAAGCTTGTTTTCATCAATATTTTTTATTCTATTTTTAATAGGATCAGTCCATAATAACAAAACTCGTCGGCTATTTTGATTTCACGAATTCCGACAACGAATTCTAAATTTCCAACCCCAAAAACCCTCACATACCAATTTTGAATCGAATCGAACCATAATCACAAATCTGGGCAGCCACATTGGAGCCGCCATAACGCATTGTCAACTGTCATCTGCCAGATTCTGAGTTGATCAGACGATCAGAAATAGGTAAAAATTCAGTTGCGAGATTTGAACTAGATAATTAAACTTGAGCGCACACCAAAATTGCAATTTAAATGAAATCTTGGAAAAATAAATTTTATTCGCTAATGGTTCATTTTATCGAGATTCAACAAGAGCTCCTTTTCTATGTTAATAGCCCTGAGATTTCATAATTTCATGTAAAAAAACTGAAATTGTGATGAACAAAAAAGTTGGGGTTATTTTTACCCCCTACCTCCTTATTTTGACACACCCCTGTATTTAATTTTGAGGTGATTTTAACTTCATTCGAACCGGCACTGAATAGTAAGTGGATGGACAAAATTTCAGATTTTCATTACACAAGGTGTTGGAGATACTAATTCAAAATCATTCACTGAGGCCCCCCTTTGAGGGGCTGTATCTTTCTTGGGGGTCACTTCAGAAAAAAATGTTACGGAGGTTTTCGTAACTATTTCACCCACTCTATATGCTCCCAAAGTTTGACCACCTATTTTAGAAACACCTTGTATATCAAATTTGTCCTATAGTTTCTAGTAGCATCTTCCTCATATCGGTCAATATACAGCAAACTGATGAATATATTCAATAACAATATAATCCTTGTATCCTTGTGGAAATTCCTATATTTCACTCAAAAGTCTAGAAATATGGTGAATTGATCAAGAGAATTTTGATGAAATCATCGTGAGAAAAAATACAGCAGTTTCGCATTCATGCTATAAAATGACCCTTCTAACTATCATACAGAAGAGCAGCTTTGAGAATTCCGAGGAGAATTCACGGCAACTTATCTCACAGCATCTAAAAACCCTTCACTTTTCTATATTTCGCTCTCGAATAATCTTGGACATCCCCTCGTATGTCTTCTTCGCGGTAATAAGATGCGCCGATCGAACGAGCGAGGCGGAGATATTTAGTGAGAAAGACGGAGTCCGTTCTGGAATTTCAAATATTTACCTCGTCTTCTACCCCTTAATAGAGGAGAAACTGAAGTAACATCGATATCATCCACTTAAAGACCTCGACAGAAGCAATTGATGCGAATCTCCCCATGTCCTCGTCACAAAGCAATGTATGCGAATTTCTCAAACAGCTCATGATTGCGAGCACTTTCAGTTATCGCCAGTGGCGATGGAAGCGTATATCTCAAAGTGCGCGCCTGAGGGCATTGTATGAGAATTTCTGCGTGCGATATCTTCAAGACCTCGCTGAGCTCAGCCTAGGTGGCGGACATTTGGCATAGATATAGCACTCTCGGCGATCTCTCAAAGAAGTTACAAAGGCATCACAATTTCCTAAAAGGATTTCTTCAAGATATCTTTAGGACCTCTTTGTGCTGGCTGGGAAAATTGTTCTCTAGTTCTCTCGTTGTGTAAAATTGGCTCAGCCAATGCTTTGTGTTTTTGAGAGCCTATGATGATTACTCTACTGTCAACATTTGGTAAAATTTCATTCCCGATAGCCCGTTTTACGCGAATAGGATGACGTAAATTTCTCCCTCCAATATACTTTTACGCTTTTTTTTTGAATACGACTGTACATGACTTGTATACTGCAATGCCTCAACAAGTAGCCTTTTCAACGAAACCGATATCAGGACCGGAATATTATTATTATTTTCATGTTCAGTTATTGTAAGAATAACTCACCTTGTATAATGATTATCGAAAATCTGAGCTCAGATTCGAGAGCTACGGAAAAAATCTCATAGGAACTTGTTGAAAGAGTTTTTCTGCAACCAACACAAAAGTCGTCCATTTTAATACCAAAATTAGCTCTTGAATTGACGTATCTATTACTGACACAAACATAGGTATGTTGCTAGGCAACACTTTTAGTTCCTAGGAGCTGAAGTTGAACTTTAGCTCCTAGGAACTAAAGAGGATGTACTATGGTCATCAAGAATAAACAACATTGTTATGGCTGATGGTTATTTGGGTTGGGACGTATACCTGATTTTTTTCCGATTTCGGCAGATTTGGCATTTCATACCCATGCTGGAGATATAAATACACCATATTATAGTTCAGTAATTTTGTTTTGATCAGGGAAGCCTTCAAGATTCACATACTTGCTTGTTCTGTATTTCATTCGTTATTCTCGGGATGAATAACTTGTTTTTGAATCACGGCCAGCAATACTTTTTTGTCTAACAACGATATTGTTTAACTTCATTTGATCACCGAGCCAAACACATTATTCAAACTGTTGAAACATAAAGAAAAACGAATAAACAAACCAGAAAAGCAAAGATGGCTGTATACTTCAGCTCCAGAGAGTCGAAAGTATTGGTCCTGAAGTTGATGTTAATGTTAATAGAACCGAAATGCGAACAAACGTGAGAAAAAAATAATTATAATTATTTTTTTACGAATTTTGTTATGGAGGTCCCTCTTTCACCTCTTGCCTCTCCGCTACTGCCAGAATGGCAGAGACCTCAGCCTGGAAAACTGTGGTATACTTTCCGTGGTATAAGCAGTAATCATTTTATTTTCATAGCCACCTAAGTAATATTAGGTCCAGAGCTCTTTATAGTCAATAAATAGTTCTGAATATTGGTTTTGTAGTTGAATATGTAAAATTGAAATTATAGTGTGACGGAACACTGTGGCAGCAACAAGGTGGATATGAATATTTGTGATATGGAAAATGTACTGAGAAACTTTTACGAATTTTGTTATGGAGGGAACAAATATATGAACTCAAAAATGAACACGATAATATATGAGAAAACTGGAACGCTATGAAATAATAGTTATTTATTATACAAGGAAAAAAAGTTGTAGATTTTAGCTACAGAGGTTGTGAGCTAAAATCTAATATTTTTCCCGTGTATAATACACAATTTTTTTCTGTGACAGAAGAAAGGACGAATCAAAATTGAGAATATATTATATTAAGTATTTTGAATTCTCAAAATTATCGACGTGAAATTTTAAGTTTTTAACAGTAGGGACGCCTGCGTTGTAGGCATCTTTATCATTCTTTTGAAGTAATCAAATATCTGATGTCACTTCTGTCAGTCTGATTCTGTGATTTGATTTCAAAAAATTGCAAATTCAGTGGTTGTTTAGTAATATACGTAACCGCGAAGTCGAATGGAAGATAAAAGGACTTGCTTTTCCATGGAAGTACCTTCCTAATGACATTTAAAAAAATCTAATTCAGATGACAGTTCTCTGGCAGATATTCTCCACTTTTTATTCTCAAATGACATCCCCTGTATATTGTCATTGAAAGGTGTCTGTCGTCCTATGAGTAGTACAACGATAGCATTTACTTGGTAACTTTTTATTATAACAACGAAAACAGCAACATTCAATTTATTAATTTCAACTAAAATATCTTTTATGCGAATCATAAAATGAACTAAAAATCACAGCTAGTATTCAAAATTATTTTGACATGAAAAGCATCGGCGTAATGAAACAAAAAACATGAGCGGAGGCAATTTTTCTTTCATAAGGATATAATTAAGTAGAAGTGGGGGCTGCCAGAGAACTGTCAAATGTAATAAATTTTTTATATGTCATTAGGAAGGTGCTTCAATGCCATTTCAATGAAGTTTTTGAATTTTTCAATTAACCTGTCAAATAATCGAGATATTGCCTGTATACGATAACTTGGGACACCCGGTATAAAGTGTCCAATGATGGTAAAATAAGGACAAATAGTTTTAAATGAATATCCAAGATGGGTGGCAAAACATGGTGAAATTTCGCATATTTTCGTAAAATATCTCAATAGATAGCGGTTCTATCACATTTTCATTGTGAAATTCTTGTTTTTCAGACGAAAATACGTAAGTACCAAAAAATATTTTCGAAAATAAAACCCATCGCATGATACGTACACTTTTACCAAAATAAAGGTTTGAGTTAGCATCATTCCAGATTTTGAGAAATCACATGAAAAGAGTTATACTTACTGTCGGCATCAACTTCCTCAATCAGTTCTTCCAAGATCTTCTTGTCGAAAGGTTGACCCATGAGACGTAGGATATCGGCTACCATGTCGCACGGAATGCTTCCAGATTTTTGGTTGTCGAAAGCCTCAAAGGCTTTGCGGAGGACTGAAAAACATAATACATTTCAGACATGAATTATCAGCCTTAAATAAAGGATTTGCGGTGTCCTCACGAGATATCTCATTCATTTGCGAAGATAAAGATTCGCGGTTTTCGCGAATGTAGGCTATACTTTTTGTGAAACCCACGACTTCCCAAGAGTCACTGGATGGAATTAGTAGATTCGGACACAGCAGAACTATTTTCTGAATTACAATGCTTGAGTTAATGAGAGAATAATCAGACATATTGTATTCTGTTCTTTGTGTTTCAATTAGTCTAATGACGTCTGATTGTCAGATACGATTTTGGAGGTTAGATTTTATGTCAAATCAGTCAGACCCGTAGAAGAAAAATGGGGTATTAATAACACCCACTTCAATTTATGGCGTTAGGGCACTGTTCGCAGAACAACAGTTATAAAAATGAGAAGAACTCATGGGGTATATAGTTCATGATGTTCTTTCCGAAACGAAACTTCGTACGGAAAATGTCTCAACGCTATTTTGTCGAGCCTCAAAAATGGGAATGAGAAAGTGTCTTCTGGTTTTTTATATCTGCTGTTATAAGAAGTAAATTTTATATATGTACCTCACAGAATGGTTGATTTTTCCTTTGGAAAATTAAATAAATGAAATCCATTTTCTTCTTCTGACGTGCATGAAATGTAATGTCAAATTCAGACAATTTTGAATGAAAATAAAGCGCAGGCATATACGTATTAATAAACAATACGGATCATAACGGGTGCCAGGATGAAGCCAGAAATATAAAACAAATGAATATCCATAAGGATTTAGTGGCATGATACGCATGCGCCATGCGCTATTATAGTAGTCATCAAAGACATGCGTTTCAGTGGACAATGACGTTTACTAGCCTTTCAATCAAAGCAGTATGTGTCTGATCGTTTCAAAACTTTTCCTTATGGATAGTCATTTGTCTTCAAAAATCGGCTTCATGTTTCGCTATGGAAACAGATAGATATATGAGCGCAGGACGATTATGGTGGCTCTTCTCACAATGCAAGGTGTGTAACTTAATGAATATGAACATTAAAAAACACTAACATATCTGTGTCCGAACTCTTATCTGACTAATACCTTTGATTATATACTCTTGTGAATACTCAATGTTAATACCAGAGAGATCTAATACCATCCATTGACTCTAGATTTCCTTAGAACGGCGAATGATATTATAATTACGAAAAATTAGATTTGGTTGGGATATAGTAGTAGTAGTAGTAGTACTGTGGGGAGGCTGTAGCTAGGTGAGTAGGCCCCCATGGGCCCTTTTTGCCAACCCCTGCCTCCACATATCTACACATCCCTCTTTTAGTTGTCCTTTTCGAACCTTCCCGTCCTTCTGATGAAGGTCAGGATGTCCGTCCACTCTAATTCGACCAAATCTTCCTGTTGTAGTTTATCTACTCCAAAAATTTCGAATCTCATCCTTCCATACGCCTCACACACTCCGAGGAAGTGAAGTGATGTCTCCTCATCTTCTCCGCATTCACGGCAAGTGGGACTATCTTCCACACCTATGAGTGATAGGTGTCTGCGTAACCTGTTGTGCCCTGTCAGTATCCCTATAAGAAGGCGCAGGACTTGGCGATCCCTGCCCAGTAACCAAGCCGTCTTTGGCTTGCTTGGACCGGCCACCAGGTCTCTCGATTGCCTGCAGCCGCCTATACGTCTCCAATATACTTCTAGTGCCTCGTCCGCCCATTTGTTAAGGGCAGACGAAGTTTGGCTTCTTGTTATGCCCAGTGCAGGCTCCGGTCCCCAGAACGGTGTCGCGGATCCGATTCTAGCCAGCTCGTCGGCCACCTCGTTCCCGGGCACCCCCCTGTGCCCCGGAACCCATACTAGTTCGACTTCCTTCTGTTCAGCTAGTTTCTCAAGAGCATCGCCACATTCCTGCACCAAAGCTGAGCTTGGTTTAGGATGGCAGACAGCCCTGAGAGCCGCCTGACTATCCGAGCAGATGTAAATCTCTGGTCCCTCTTTCACCGCTCCCCAGACAGCACCAGATATTCCATGAATATTCATAAAATATTGTTTTTGGATATTGCGAATATTCATGAACATGCCAGGGATATACATATCATCTATGGAATATTCCCTGAATATGCTGGTGGGGAAAATTTTATATATTCCCGGAATATTACACAATGAATATTTCCTATATATTCAGAATGTGCCTATAATATTCTAGGAATATTCAGATAATATTCGGAATATTCCAGGAATAATACAGGAATATAAATATATGAATATTTCGGGAATATTCCTCGATACATATTCATAATTAAAAAAAGCTAACCCAAGATGGGCTCGAACTCGGGACTTTCAGACTGTCAGATCAACGCCTTAACCACTAGGCCAGTAATCGAGTTGAATAATACTGTACATAACAATTCATTGAATTGCGTTGTTCAGAAGCGGATCATAAACACTTCCAGTTCCACATGTACGATGATCTTTGAGTACTTTGATCACTACCTATCAAAATTGTGGAGACGACTTTGGGTTTCTGATCCCTGGTAATATAACCACTTTACTCTGAAATACGATGGACTTCTACCACAGATTTCAAAATCAATGACTCACATCTATAAAATAGTGATTGGTTAATTTCCATATTTAACAATTTCATTGAAACAAATGGGAATATTATCGGAATATTCCATGAATATACAGGAACAGAATATTCAGTTGGGAATATTCCTGGAATATTCATACCTGAATATTCCCTGCACTATCCAACTGGAATATTCTAGGAATATTCACTTCAGAATATTCCTTCTGGAATATTCCTCGTATATTCATTTTGGAATATTACTAGAATATTCACATCTGAATATTCCTTGAATGTTCCAGAGGCACGTATATATTCTAAGAATATTCGAAGGATATTCGGAATATATTCTTCTCTTTTAGCATATTTAGAGAATATTCTAGGAATATCCAGTGCTGTCTTGGTTGCCTCTCCGCTACTGCCAGAATGGCAAAGACCTCAGCCTGGAAAACTGTGGTATACTTTCCGTGGTGGTTGGGATATAACCAGTACTCGTTTTTTGTTTTGATAGCCACCTACTAATATTAGGTCCACAGCTTTTTATAGTCAATAAATAGTGCTGAATATTGGTTTTGTAGTTGAATATGTAAAATTGAAATTATAGTGTGACGGAACACTGTGGCAGCAACAAGGTGGATATGAATATTTGTGATATGGAAAATGTACTGGGAAACTGAAAACTATCCGAATACATATATGGCTAATATTTGTGTCACATATTTTCGAGAAGTGCACAGCACCCATGTTCCGAATATGAAAAACATAACAGGTGTTTTCATTTAAACAAAAACATAACTTCGGGTTTTACCATTTGAAAACTGGTTTTTAAGTAAAAATGTATGAGACAGTTTCTACTTTTTCTATAAGTTGATAATAAAAGAAGAGATGCAGGGGAGTTCCAGAATACATCATTTTCTATTTCGCCTTGTATATCTAAAACTAAGCGAGATATGAAAATTTTGTTTGCGGTGTCGAGAGTTTCACAAAAAATTAGCCAATAACGCGAAAACCGCAAATCTGTATCTTTGAAACTAAACTACTCAACACTAATTTCGTCGCACACCAAAATGTCGCCCCTGTTATAATGTGAATAACTTTTTTCAGTTTAGAACAATTTGAATTTGGTTCACACTGTTCGATAGCCCAGTCCCTCAGCTATAATCTGGTACTCCATTGAAACATAAGGGTATTCACATAAAATCTCTACATGGTGTTTTCCGACACTGTGCAAAGTTTCGGAATATTCAAAAAGCTCTCAAATGGTGAAAAAAATGTTTTTCTCAACTTCGACAACAAAGGCATGAAGATGATTTCATTACCTCGAAATATTTCGCGAATCAACTTCCTATCTCTCTTATTTACAGAGTGATCTCAAAAAATAAACTTTTTGGTTTTGCAGCCATAACTTTTTTCCACGTCAACCGATTTTGGAAATCTTAGGCTCCTTTTGAAGATAAAACTTCAGATGAAGAGATCTGAATATCAGAATTGACTCAAGATGGCTATCAAAGATCTAGAGTTTTCTTGAATGTGACCCAAATCTGGAACGCCCTCCGAATCTCAGTTGGGAGGAGAAGAAGTTGGTTTTCATTCAATTCTCCTCCCAACCAAGATTCGAAGGGCGTTCCAGATTTGGGTCACTTTCAAGAAAACTCTAGATCTTTGATAGCCATCTTGAGTCAATTCTGATATTCAGATCTTTTCATCTGAAGTTTTATCTTCAAAATGAGCCTAAGATTTCCAAAATCGGTTGACGTGGAAAAAAGTTATGGCTGCAAAACCAAAAAGTTGATTTTTTGAGATCACTCTGTAAATAAGAGAGATAGGAAGTTGATTCGCGAGATATCTCGAGGTAATGAGATCATCTTCATGCCTCTGTTGTCGAAGTTGAGAGAAACATTTTTTTCACCATTTGAGAGCCATTTGAATATTCCGAAATTTCGCACAGTGTCGGAAAACACCATGTAGAGATTTTATGTGAATACCCTTATGTTTCAATGGAGTACCAGATTATAGCTGAAGGACTGGGCTATCGAACAGTGTGAACCAAATTCAAATTGTTCTAAACTGAAAAAAGTTATTCACATTTATAACAGGGGCGACATTTTGGTGTGCGACGAAATTAGTGTTGAGTAGTTTAATTGGGATATAACCAACTTAGGTGATCCATAACCTACAGTGGAGGTAATATAAATCAGGAGGAGTGAAAGAACTTACAGTCACAACTCCACCACATAAACAATTCAATAATGACCAACGGTCATGGACATACAGCAAATTTTTAAAAAGAGAATCTGTAAGAATAAACAACGTAACAGATTCTCTTTTTATAAATTTGCTGATGATGGAGGATTAATCCTTCGAAACATGTTCTTATGTTCATGCCCGTTGGTCATTACTTAATTGTTTATGTGGTGAGTTGT